TTGTGCGTCTGATTCTGATTTTAATTCCCAGGATCCGTCGGCTTTGATGAGGATTGCCTTTGCTCCTTCGAGTCGGTTGGTGCGTGCTAACTCCGCGCGCACTTCCTGAAGGTAACCATCGATGACCAATTGCTGGGGACGCGCATCTCTGCCGCAAATGGGACATTTCCAGTCATTTTTCAGGCTGCGTTTTCCCGACTTCGAGGCACGCGTCTGTATCCAGGTCAAGTGATCAAAGCAGTCTCGGTGTCTACAGGAGCGTCCGCGTACAGGGCGACTGAAGATTCGTGCGGTGAAAGGATCCACAAGGTTGATGCTGAGATGGTCACTGACAACACTCACTTCATCGTCCTGCGAGTTAGAAGAGAGACGCTGGCAAATCTGCTCCCGACATTCAGAAGCGGGTAAGGCATGAGCAAGTGAAAATGCTCGAACCAGATCTGATATCTCCAACACTTCAACTCCCATTGCGTATAACATATCATTTGCTTCAGCTGGGCTGCGGATAAAATGTAAGGATATCATATTATCCCCTTCCCTAAGATGATCAGTGACATCTAACGGGAGATCTTTACCATTATGCATTCGTCGGCGAACAAAAAGCTCCACCCCATTGACGTGAACATAGAAAACACTCGGCCACACCGATTCGGTAACAGACCACATCGTCTCTGCGACCTCACTGGCTGCCGAGGGCATCTTGATACACCGTAGTCGATATACTCGATTGCCACTTGAATAGAAACGGAACGAGCGCTGTCCTATTCCGGCCGAGCGAGATTTAGGAAACTGGTCTAGATTATCCTTTGACAAAGTGAACTTCCAATGGAAGGCACACTGTTCCCGCCCGAGTGGTGTCGGTGGCACAGCGAACGAACTGAGATATTGGAACAATTCCATCTCCTTCTCGCCTGCAGGCCCTCTAGAAAGTAGGTAATTGTGTGGGTCACGTAGGTGGACCTGATGAAGAGCATCCCGAAGTGGTTGGGGCGGGATTGTATGCAATGGATGTGAGCCTGGAAGGGGAAGAAGAAGGGTAGGCGGGGGATATGGACGAGGCGGTCGTTGAGACACTGGAGAGTGTGGGGGTTGAGCATGATGCCTCAGATTCACTGGTTGCCCGGACGGCCCAACCCCATTGTTTCGTAGCTCTAGCCGAGGTGGCCGTGCCGGTACCTGTCGTGGACCTTGGACTGCGGGTTGCATTGACGGGATTCTGTCTCCCAGTGGAGGATGCGCAATTTGGGACGGATATACCATCGGCGGAACAGCTGCTTGGGCTGGAGCGCCGGTTGCTCTCGACATTGGATCGGACACCTGAAGTGTGTAAGTATGTGGAGTGGTCGGAGCGCCATTAATCCAACTTGAACGTCGACTGTGAACAGGAGCCGAAGGGTAAGAGCCCGAGGCGTTGGCTGGCATGCGCGCCGTTGGAGGCACGAGCTGATACGATGTTGGGGAGGCTACCTCAGGATTAACGGGTTGAGGTATTGGAGCGCCTGACGACCTGGTCACTGAATGAGGTACCGAACCTCCACGACTCGTCATCATAACTGGCAAAGGATGGGAATGTGTACTCATTGTACCCTGCGACACCCAAGGGCCGGGTTGACTGGGCAATGGAAGCGTCATCTGGGGATTGCGGACCTGAGGACTACCGGTGCTAGTAGGTCTGGCCACCAGATGTACCATTGGTTCTCCGATCGACGTGGGCCCATGGGACAAGCTCGGGGATGGCCCCGACTGATGCGTGCCATCTGGTGCAGGTACCGAGCGGTATGCCTGAACGACCTTCTGGGTTTCTTCATGAACTTGTGCATTAGACACCAGACGCGATGATGCGCAACGCTGTTGGTAGTACCGTAGATCTAGCTCCCAGACGGCCTTCAAATGCTCTTCACTCTTGGACCCGGGCAACGTACGACACGTGGACAGAAAGACCGTATACGCTAAAGGCCCCGATGTGATTCCAAAGTTCTTCACAAGCTCCTCGACCAACGGTGGAAACTCTCGCTTTCGCACTTCCTTCACATACATGGGCCACTTCTCACCTAGCAAGCGGAGACATTGCCCGGCCTGCTCCACAGCTTGTCCATATCTAGAACTCTGTATCAACCCTATAAGCGGGGCGGGGAACTGAGCAGACCATCTGAGAAAACCCCCTGAGACCCGATTGTTTTCTACTAGGAGTCTCCTAATCACGTCTAAGCCACACTCCTGAAGCACAGTATATCCCGGCAGCTGGAAAAATTCTTGGGGGGCAAGGCTATGCAGACAATACACCTGATGAATCGCGAGGAACAGAGGGTCTCGTTCAGCACAGGCTTGGTACAGAAGCTGCGTCCGTGGCTGTTCTACATTTCCGAGACAATCCCTCTGCTTCAGTTGATTTTGAAAATTTTCAATTGTCTTCAACGATTGTTCGTAAAATGCGTCATCCAGGAGGGGATTGTGGAAAGGATTGCGCCGGGATGCACTAGGGGGCTGCACCATCTGCTGCCTAGGGGATGCAGCAGACGGTGGGAAAGCTGGAGACAAAGCTGGAGAGTGTGAGTGAGATGCGAGCGAGTCCCGTCTCTGCAGTTGCAATGAAATATTGCTCCTTCCCCATTGGTGTCCGGCCCTGGTAGGATTCCCGGTTATTAGATTCGCGGCTTCAACCTCAGCTGGTGAAGATATAGGCACTGCTGTCCCGATCTGGGGCTGGTGAGGCAGCGGCGCTGGCCCCACGGTGCGAGGGGACGGGAAAGCTGCAACCGAGGGACTCGCTCCATTGTAAGTAACGACATTGCTGGAGCTGTCATGTATTGGAGAAGGGACTACGATTGGGGTGTGGAGGGTACGTGAAGCGAACGGCCGAGACACCACAGTGGTCGTGGTAGCTGTCGCTGCTAGAGAAGGGTCGGGCCGCGCTCGGTCAGAAATGACGTGCCCGGGCGAGCCCCGAGAAACGGGAGATTGCTGCTGAAACTGCTGCTGTGCGTGACCGGGAGTCACCGGGGATATTACATTCGGCTGCGATTGAGGTTGTGAGGGCGGAGCGGCGGCAGATGTGGTGCCTGGCGCGGCATTCTCTTCATGACTTTGGGATGGCACGAGAAGCACGCGAAGAGAGGACGACTCTCGCATGCCTTGTTGACGCGTCCGGCCAGCAGCAGCAGCAGCATCAGTAGCAGAAACAGCAACACCGTTATTCGAAGGAGTAGCGGTAGCCGAATCGTCAGGTAATTCGGAGTGACCGGAGAATGAAGAGGAACTGTTGGCTGCATTCAGCATCCACGATCTCCGCACACCACCTAGAAAAATGCTGGCGGTGGAATTGGACGATTCGACGGAATTTGGGTTAGAATTAACATTAGGTAAGTGGGGAGTTGGGCTCATGATGACAGAGCATCTTCTGGTTCATTTTCTTCTTTCGCTTGGTTTTCTTTTCCTTCGCCTGAATGCATAAGAAATTGTTGAAGTCTAGATTGAAATTGAAATGAGGGAAGAATCCATGTAAATGTGAGCGAAATCAGTTTGTCCGGGAAACAGACCGACCGACATACAAATATGAGAACATAATTTTATTTTCTTTAAAAAAAATATAAAATAAAAAGAACGGAAAAGAAAATAAATATCAATTATTGCACGTAACATACATACACGTACTCTGGTACCGCTGAGAACAGATTAACATGATGCTGTCCCCCTAAAGTAGGTAGAAAAAAAGAAAAGAAAAGAAAAGAAAAGTTCACTTAGGTTGAGAGATACTAGTATAGCAACCAGTGAACGAAGAGAAATTCTACGGGGTTTGCTAGTAAGTTGATTGATTACTCACCGTCGTTCAATGCTGTGTGATACGGAGATGTTCTAGCATTTCCGTCTGAACCACTTTATATGGCCCTTTTTTTTTTTTTATTTTTCTTCTCTCTCTCTCTTCAGGTTTTGTTTGTATTTATTATTTGATCTTATTTTACCTTTAGTTTTTCTTTTTTTGTGTTGCTTTTTGTTTCTTTTTTTTCTTCTCTCGATTATTCACTCCCTATCAATTGGATTCTAGATTACTAGTAATTACTAAAAAAACCAACGCTAACTAATGTAGTAAGAGTCGTAGTAATGCTTATGATCCATGCAGGCGCTTAACTGAAACAAGGATAAAAAAGTTCAGTGTAGGGGAATAATCAAAACCAAAAAAAGAAAAAAGAACGAGGAAGGAACAAACTGATTCTCATTAAGCTCAACTTTTATGCATGATTATCCTCTTGAGTCTCAGGATCCCCATGCATGACCCCAAGTCAGTTTATTGGGATGGAATGAACCCATCAAGGAAGCCTAATCTTTCTGGACCTGTCAAGTCTCTGAGAACGCCGCATTAGTTGCAAGGCATGTCGATCCCTACCAGTCCTTCCCCAAGAGTCAAGTGATGGACCCAAGGGAGAGACTTATCAGGTTTATACGCCATGTTATGTATCCCTTGGATGGTGTGGCTGGGGGGCAGCATTATTGTATGTACTATAGGTACTAGTGGTATCTCGTCCACGGAGCATCCTTATTTCACTCTGATTGGAGAGAGTTGATAGAGTCGAGAATGATTCTATACATATTGCGTTCGGTGGGGAGAAGTATATCATATCAATCCAGGTTTGAGTTGATACATTGGAGCAATGATTGCCGTTTGCACTCGTCTGATGCATACATATAGAACGGAGTTGATCGTCATTTTTCTGACTGGTGTTTATTAATTTATTCTATTTGAAGATCCTCCCCGTGGAGAAGTGTCAGTCGTTGATCTATGTGTACATATAAATCAATGTAAGGCACCGTTCCTCTCTTGGGTGAACAGCTGTTTGGTGATGAAGTAGTCGTTGGACTGAGACTCTGTTGGCTCCAGTCATCATCTCCCATCTCCCTCCCAATTAGGGCTCAGTGTATCTGCCCATTGCCTCACTCATGCTACAGCAATTGCAGAGCACCATCCGCCTTGGATTTAATTCTTAAACCGAGGACTTTGGGTCAATTCTTTTTTCTCTGTGGTTCCGATTCCCCTTTGTGTTCTTATCCTGACCCCAGTCGTCGTCCTCATTTCTCCTATCCAACATACTCTTCCAGCTCATACCTCAGGCCACACCCGGTACCCTCAGGCCTTTTAAGGTGTATGTGGTGACCGGCGTGACTTCCCGCAGCCTCACCATTAATTCCCTTCTTGGGACTGACTCTACAATTTATTCATCTACTCCTCTTTTCCTCTTCTCCTCTCTCTCCTCTCTTTCTTCATCCTCCCTCTCTCCACCACATACCACAAATCTCCCAGGCTCATCAGGGAGGCCACCGAAGAGAAGGGAAAAGGCCAAAAGAAAAACAAAGCAAAAAGCCAAGAAGCCCAAAAGAGAACTCAACGCCCAGTTGTCTCAAGACTAATTTCCTCCGGGGGGGGCCATTTAATTTCCACTTGTGACCCGTGCAGCGTTGCCGCTCAGTTAGCGCCCCTACTGTACGTCGATTACAGCAGTTAACCCTGACCGACCTTTGAAAGCACACCTCAAGCGCCTTAGATCGTCGTTTTACGTGCATCTGTTCCTTTTGGTCGATCTGATCCTGGTTCGTAAGAAGAGCTAACGGTTGTTCTTTTTTTATCGCTTCGAACCTAGCTTCTGACGACGCTTCCGAGGAGTTGACCAGCGATCTATATATCATCAGCTCCGGCCCTCTCTCTTCCTTTTTTTTTTTAGCGCCACTGGGAAAACGAACTTCCTTCCAGACCCGCCGCTTTCTTGTCCCCGCTAATTCTCCTTCCTTCTCGCCCATTTGAGGCAGGCTTGGAATTCCTCAACACAACCCGCATTCTAATTACATTCCATCCACTCCCCCAACCTTCGTTACTGCGACAATCTTCGCCCCAGCCATCCGCTGCCCCTGTGGTTTTCAAGATCCCCCCCGCCAGGGCTGCGGCCCCTATGTCCTGCGCAATCCCTCCGCTGTTACCACTGCGTTCTTGTGACGTTTGACCCCACTCTGGCTCTTTAGACATCATTGACTCTGAGGAACCACCACCAATGGCTCTCGCAACGCCTCCTCGCAATGTCCACCCGGGAGATCTACTCTTGGTTGTTCGTGAGTGACCCGACCGTGGTCGCATACACTTTCCGCGACACTCGGTTTACTTCGATAACGCTGACCGTGTTGGCAGATGATTTTGAGGCCCGTGGACCGGATGAGCTCAACTTGCGTCGCGGCGAAAAAATTGAGCTAGTTGAGTTGGACGATGGTTTTGGTGATGGGTGGTATCTCGGAAAGGACTTAAACACAGGGACTCAAGGCCTTTTCCCGGGAGGTATGGTCTCACCAAAACAGCTACTGTTTGAAAGGAAGTGTCGCTAACGCAAGCACAACCCATCAGTATACACTACCGCGGCCCCAAAGATCCCCATCCGGCCGCAGAAAGACACCATTGGGTCAAATACACTAAAAACCGACCTCCACCATGTGATAGGACAGGAGATATTTGCTTCACCTATTAGTGGCGAATCTACGCCCCAAGCGTCCCGACGTGCCAGCACGTCTGATATGAGCGCGCCAGATATTGATGATTCAACAGCCCCGACGCCCTCCCCAAAGCAACAGCAGAGGTCCAGCTCCTCGCCATTACCGACGTCTAAAATGGCGATCGACATACAGAAGACCATCCGACAGTCTATTGAAGGTCACTTGAGTGGCCAGGACAGTCCGGTGATGAACGAAACCCTGAGTGTCATTGATGAACACATCACCGATCTGAGTACACCTCGCCACAGTGTGACTGCCTCCCAAGATTCCAAGACGGTGAACGACTCGGCAAGTGAATATAGCAGCACACTCGAGCACCGAATGTCTTACATTAACGGACATGAAACCGACGAGGAAGAAGAAAGACAGCCGACAGAGGAAGAAGTTCGCCGATGGAACCATTCCGAGACGGCGAAACATTTACGTCAGCTGGGACTTGAAGCCAAACACTGTGACATATTTGAGGAACAGGAGATTACTGGCGATGTACTCCTGGATATGAACCAGGATTTTCTCTTTATGAAGGAGTTTGATTTTGGTGTTATGGGTCGGAGATTGAAGACATGGCATAAAGTCAAAGCCTTTCAGGAAGAGGTCAAGGGTATTCCGCAGCAGCAATCGTCACGCAGCTCATCTTTTGCGACCCCTCAGGATGAACGTACTCCTAGTCGCACAAGTCACACTGGCCCGCTCTTTCCTAGAATCCCCAATCTGAGAGGGCCAAACGGCCCGGCACAACACCCGCGACTCGTCAGTAGCACTATGCAGAGCAGCACGGGCTCACCCCTGACGTCACAAGCTCCGGTATGGATGGACCACACTAGGAGACCATCGGCCGCGTCCATTCGTGAAATCAATCATTCGCGGCGCCATTCGTCGATCGATACCACCAACCGATACTCAGGGGCGGGTGACTCTTCTCCTGCCACCCACCACAAGAAAAGCTCGTTCGATCGGGGGTGGACCTTAAATGGTGCTTCGGGGCCCCAACGGCGTCCCGGGTCAGCTCTCGGAGCGCCAAACGAGATTGCCCCCCCTCAATCTGTGTTGCATGTGGCGGAGTCCAATGGTTCTGACTCGGCTACCGCCGTTAGCGATGATTTAGATCGCGGCTACTTCTCGGGCCCGGAGGGAGATACCCATAAGAATCGGCGTGTCCTGCAGAAACGAAGCTCGACCTATGGCAGTGTTTCTACGCCATCCAGCATTCCCGATGAGCACTTCCAGCTCAAAGTCAATAAACGTCACTCACGTATCAATAGTGCTGATTCTATCAGGGATGCGGCTCAAATGACACCCCCCGCAGCGAAAGCTTCCCCACCCAGGGGTCGTTTCAGGAGTTTGAGCACTCGAGCTTCGGACCGACATGGCCAGCAGTCATCTAATCCGCCATCTGCGGAAGAGAAGTCTTCTGGTTCTGGGTTCTTCGCCGCGTTTTCGCTGGGTGGGAAAAATAACGAGGAGCAGACGCAGCGCTCCAGCACTTTACCTCTTCAGGGAATCAAGAGCGCTGGACCTAAATTCCGACGTGCTGTTGGTCTCCGTGCCATGTCCGAGGCCGTTAAAGGGATCGATACCTCGGTTGCTCCCCCGTCTCCTAGTAAAGATCCCGAGTCTCCCTCAGCTAGAACGGGATCGACAACCCCTTCGACCACAAAGAGTTCAGAACGACATAGTACGGATGGTTCGGGCAAGGCTGTAGAAGGTGGTGCGTCCTTGCCGCGTGCCCGCACCCTCAGGCCCGCGACCAAGTCGAAGAAAGACACAAGCGCCTATACCCAGGGCCTGGAGAAGAAGACCCCGAAGGAGCAGATGCAAGGATGCGAGTTTTCGGGGTGGATGAAGAAGAAGTCTTCAAACCTGATGACAACGTGGAAACCGCGTCTCTTTGTGTTGCGTGGCCGTCGTCTGTCGTATTATTACTCAGAAGATGACCCCGAGGAACGTGGTCTTATCGACATTACGGCCCACCGTGTGCTTCGCGCGGATAACGACCCTCTCATCGCCCTGCATGCTACCTTAACTGGTTCCACAGCATCGCCAACGTCGCCGTCTGGGCCTACTTCCGATGACCCTTCATCCGATAAAGCCTCAGGATCGGAATCCTCTCTCCGCGGGTCCAAGCCCGTGGGAGAAGGCCCTTTTTTCTTCAAACTTGTACCACCGAAATCGGGTACTTCTCGGACGGTGCAGTTCACGAAGCCTGCTATCCATTATTTCCAAGTAAACAGTGTTGAAGAAGGTCGCTTGTGGATGGCAGCATTGATGAAGGCTACCATCGAACGGGACATGGAACTCCCCGTAGAGACTACCAATAAACAGAAGACTGTTAGTCTAAAAGAAGCCCGTCTAATGAACCAGCGGCCTCCCGCGCTGTTGCCGACGACTCCCGCAGCCCAGGAAACAGAGGGGAAAGACAAACGTTTGGCGACCACCACAGAGGAGGGCGGTTTGATGATTCAAGGTCTTAGGGATGAGCAAGTGCCTACCCACGGGGACGATGACGAGAAGAAACGGGTTTCGAGCCCTCTCGGTGGCCTTGATGCCGGCCAACCTTCTTTGCTACCTGAATCAGTTGCAAAGGTCGATTGATCGTGTTGCTGAGAGGACACAGCCGCTGCTTGATCACTTTTTGCTTTGCTTGCTTTGAATGCTACTATTCTGTTTGGCGTTAATGTGATATACCCCCATTTGGATTATTTGATCTCAAGCTTACTATCGTTTCTCCATTAATTTTACCGAATAATATTCATTGCGTTATCTCTTCCAACTATCGCTGGGTGACCAGGACCTCGAAGACAAGGCTTAATGAAATCCCGCACGAGCTCCAGTAGTCAATCTTGTACGTGTACTGGAACAAGATGGTTGATCCCGATAGGACTTTCTAAAATTAGGGCTGATGATCCATAAAGGATGATCACCCGCACGCCAAACCCTCCTTTCATGACCCGTCGTTTTTTCCTATTTTAAGTTTTCTGTTCTTTTCTTCCTTTTATTACACCTCATATGAAACAGAGAAGCGCAAGATGAGATTAGACTTATTTGACATGGCTTCCCTCTGAAACAGACCAGACCTCTAACAAAAAAAAACTAACAAAAACAACACGATATACTCCGCCAATGGTGCCACGATTATTCCCCGGTGTGCCTCCATGTCCCTCCGCCGGCTTCTTTCCTGCGTGCTCTCCCTCCTCCTGCCATTGGCGATAGCAAGCAGCCTTTACCTCTATTTTTACCCTGTCTTTCATGGCTGCGCATTTCCACTCCCTGCGGATAATCATACAGGGCTCCTTTCGAATTCGTTTACCAGTGCGCTCCGCCAACACCTTTCACCGCAATCTGCAGAGGACCCCGCGATCTTCAGACTTCTGGTCCTAGCGGATCCCCAGCTAGAAGGCGACAGCTCTCTCCCGAAACCCGAAGATGAGCTTCCAGCTCGGATTCAACATCACTGGGTGGCAGTAAAATCATCGGTGAACAAGACGGAGCCTCGTCAATTCCTCACCGCCGTCTCAACCGCATTGAACTCCTTCGCCAGCGAAGATATCCCTCGCGCCTTACGTGCAGCTCGGAAACGGCTCGATCTATTGGGCAACGACTACTACCTTGCGCATATTTATCGCACGCTACATTGGTGGAGTCGCCCAACGCACGTCACAGTCCTGGGTGACCTGATCGGGAGCCAGTGGGTGACAAACGAGGAGTTTGATCGACGCGGCCGCAGATACTGGGAGCGGGTCTTCAAGGGTGGCGAGCGCATTGCCGATGATATTACAACAACTGGCGCAAGGAATTATAGCGGTGACGAGAAGCAGAGTGATGAACTGGAGACACTCAATGCTACGCATTCCGCATGGACACAGAGGATCATCAACATTGTCGGGAACCATGATGTAGGATACTCTGGGGATGCAAGTGAAGCGCGGATTGAGCGGTTCGAGCGCGTGTTTGGCCGTGCGAACTGGGATGTGCGATTTCAACTCTCCCGAGAGCAGGTCGATAACGCGACTGCACCCCTCAATGCTCCCCCGACTCTGCATCTGATCAACCTCAACACCTTAACTCTCGACTCCCCGGCCCTGTCCTCGGACGTCCAGTCGCATAGCTACAGCTACATCAACGATTTGATCTCCCATCGTTTGTACCCTGTGGAAGACCGCACGACATTCACTCTCCTTCTTACCCACCTGCCCCTACACAAGCAGGAGGGTATATGCACCGACGGCCCTTACTTTACATTCCATGAATCAGACGACGAGAATGGGCCCGACGATGTACCGCGCTTTAAGGAAGGAGGACTGAAAGAACAAAACCATCTCAGCGACCACATCAGCAGCAGCGGAGTCCTCCAGGGGATTTTCGGCATGACAGGGGACGAAAGCGCCCCCGGCGGAGGAAGGGGACGGAACGGACTCATTCTGACAGGTCACGATCACACGGGTTGCGACGTGGTCCACTTTGTGAACCGAACTGTAGGTACAACAATCGCTGAAGACTCCGACTCCGAAAGTTGGAAATGGGACGCAAAACGCTACGATAGCGCTGTTGATAACTCTACGCCCGCCATTAGAGAGGTCACCCTTCGCTCTATGATGGGTGAATATGGCGGTAACGCAGGCCTGCTTTCTCTCTGGTTCGATACTACTGTGAATGAATGGCAGTATCAGATCACGATGTGCATGGCTGGTGTGCAGCATATTTGGTGGGCGGTGCATGTCATTGATCTGGTGACTTGTATTCTTCTTCTTGGGTATATACTGGCTGTCTTAGGGTCGAAACCAAGACTTACAAAGATAGAGGTTGGACAGGAGAAGAAGAGGAATTAATGACCAGTCATTAATATCCCTGGGAAGGAGTTGCTGTATTTTGCAGCTGAGACGACCTGGTTTTAGGGGCCAACAGGTATAGATTTCTTGTACTTATCATTATATAGGGAAAGGGTGATATGTTCTGTGGACTTGTATATTATGACATAAACCAACCATCAATGTACTTTACGATTACATGCAAACAACGATCCTTGGGCCCGGCTGGAATTAGTTCCATCACCACTAGATAAAGAGAATGACCTACTGCGATACGGAGGAGTATTTACGCACGAAGAAGGAATGTAAGAAGGACGCCCCCATTTTCTGAATTTTTATATTCCGAGTCGCCATATAAGAGACAAAAAGAAACACGTCATAGAGGAAATTGAAGTGATGAAACTCGCGGTTCTAGTATTATCACCCGGTCGTTCCTAATTTTCGTTTCCCGTTCATAGTTGCACCCAAAACGAATTTGATTTGATTCCCCTGCTTGGTATCGAACTATTTCCTTTAATATTTTCCAAGACGGTTCTCCTTGTTTACATGACAACACCAGAGTTGGAAGCGATACGCTGTTGGGCGATTCCGTTAGCATAATTATTTTCCAGGACAAGGACATGGGGTGCTTACAGGCCAGAGCTCAGCAGCCTCCTTTCCGACGGGGCCGGTGATGGCGGATCCCTTCATCTCACCCTTGGCGTTGACGATCTGTAGAGAGAGATGCATTAGCAATGTGACATTTTCTTTCGAAACATTCCATATCCAAGGTGAGCGGGGAATACGTACGACACCAGCGTTGTCCTCGAAGTAGAGGTAGATGCCATCGGGACGTCTCCAGGGCTTGCTCTGACGGACGACAACGGCGGGCATGACCTTCTTACGGAGCTCGGGCTTTCCCTTCTTGACGGTGGCCATGACCATGTCACCGACACCAGCGGCGGGGAGACGGTTGAGGCGGGCACCGGTACCCTTAACGGAGATGATGTAAAGGTTACGGGCACCGGAGTTGTCGCAGCAGTTCAGAACGGCGCCGCTATAAGAGTAGACTAGTTAGTTTCCTGACCGTCGAGGGGTTGTGACACTGATGGACGTAGGTATATATATGGGATTTTCGTCTCGATATTGGGGTTTCATGATTCGAAATAGGATCGGTTTTCGACGTACCAAGGCAGACCGAGCGACATCTTGAGCTTGTTGCCCGAGGAACCACGACTGTAGAGGAGCGATTCGTTAGCATAGTCTCATTTTCATTTTCTGACCGAGAAAAATTCAAGAGCGAAGAAGTTCGTTGTTTCTTCTAACTGTCCCGCAGCCAGAGTCTGAGTATCTCCCCGGGTTGTTCTTCTGGTCGTCATTCTTCTATCCTTGTCCCTTCTGCGATCCTTCCTCCGTCATTGTCCTTCTCTTTCTTCCTGATAATTGATTCCCTTTGCCCCGTATACCTTGCCCACAAACCCGGTTCGATAAACTCAGACCACCACCATTGTAGACTCCCTCGCTCGTAGTCGAACAACGCAGAAAAAAAGAGCCAGTAAAAACTCACCCTCTTCCAGACATCTTGGCTGTGTATCACGTAAACGGTGTCGGATACTAGAAAATTGGCGAAGGAAGCGACGAAGGTCGACAGTATCAGGCGTCGTCGAGGGATTGCTGGGGTTTCCGAATTGCTTTCTCGCTTAGTGTGTCGTGGGTAAAATCTTGGCGCCTCAGTGCTATTGGCCCGTCGAGGGCCCATGGTGAATTAGGGCTCAGCCGATACACTAGTCCTCCTTGGGATTAGAGTGTTCAGGTGGATTAGGTAATCTTACTGCATGGGATGATCTAGGCATGCTCTACTCCGTACTATAGTACTAATTATTGCAAAGGAATTCCGCAACTCGAGGCGTTTTGGAAAGTATGTATGGATTTGTTGAAGTTTTAGCCAATATATGCATTTGCGCATGATACATGAATTTAAAAAAGAAGAATTGCTCAAACTACAGAGTTAGAAAATAGAAAGACATGAGACATAGCAGAATACCCTCCTTCATGGATGCAGTAACCCAAACACCATATTGCCAGCCCTTGCGCCCGGAACCTGATAAACGCCTCTAAAAAGCGGAGACTATGCTTCGCTCTTGGTGGGCTCCTTCTCTTGAGGTTCACCGGTTGATTCCTTTACTTCCTTAGGTGATTCCTGTTCTGCTTTGGCTGGCTCAGGTACATCCTTAGGAGCTTCTGGGCTCTTTTCTTTGGTCTCGGTTGTCTCCACTGTTTCCGCTACTTCACTTGCCTCAGCTGGCCCTAATTCCTCTACGGACTCTTTCTGAGGGGTCTGTGCATTGGCTGAAGAGGGCGACTCTGTTACAGGTTTTTCTGTAGCTGACGTTTCTTCGGCGGGCTTCTTCTCTTCTGCCTGGGCCTCACTTGGCGCGGCTGATTGATCCTGCTGCTCTGTTTCAGGCGCAGCATCGCCCACATCTTCCATGGTGGTATCCTCATCCTGTGCCTTGGGGGATGGCTGGCGAGATATAGGCGCAGAGGGAGCTCCTTGCTCTTGACCGTCAATCGCCATTTCCGTTTGCTCTGCTGCAGACGCCTCTTCAGCCCTCGATGGTGCTTCAGCAACGGAAGGGGTTGCGGGTGCCTCGGTTTCGGTCTGTGGGGCATCACCCATCTTCGCATCGGCAGTAGTATCCATGTCATCGTCAGGCACCGAAGAAGCCTCGGCGGGGGTAGCAATTCCGCTCTCAAGTCCAGACTCAACATCAAGGTTGCGATAATTAACTTGGTTCCTCCGTTTCATTATGCCAGGTTGGCGGCGGACTCCGTTGGCAGCGTTCTCCTCTTCGTCTTCGCTATCACTAAGCTCACCTGGTTTCTCGACATATTGATCGAATCGCCTTTTGGTGAAACGCTTGTCCTTATTCTCGTCCTCATCCAGGTCATCCAAGATTGCATCTGCTTCATCATCCATGCCTTCTACAAGAGGGTCGCGTGGTACGTCCGTCATCTGTACGGAAGGTGCAAATGAAGTTCGCTTAAGGTTCTCGACAACTTGCGCACGGATCTTATCTAGATACTCTTTCGTATTGGCGTTGTCCATATTCGATGGCCGCACATCCAACTCATAATCCGGAGCAAAGTACTGTTCATGTTAGTAACTTCTGACATGAACATATTTGAGGGAAACGAACTTACCTCATAGTAATCATTATAAGGAAGCTCGGAGCCCAAAGGATCCCCAACAAGTATACCAGTTTCGAACGCCCAGGTTCGCGCGACGTTGCGCATTGTGTAACCTCCTCCTCCAAGAATTAATGTGGGAAGATTGAAACTCTTGATGAAGTTCACACAGTTTGCATGTCCTCTCATACTCAGGTTGAAGCACCCCAAACGGTCACCTGAAAGACTGTCACCACCGCATTGGAGAACCACTGCTTCCGGTCGGTACCATTCCATAACACTCTTGATGACAGGCTCAAAGATACTCTTGTAAGAAACGTCGTCTATACCATCGCGGAGTGGGAAGTTCACGGCGTAATATTTACCCTGGCCAACACCAATATCGCGGAGCTCGCCAGTTCCTGGGAAGTATTCCCCGTACTTGTGGAAAGAGACAGTCATAACACGATCTGTTGTGTAGAAGGCTTCTTCAACACCATCACCATGATGTACATCAATGTCGACATACAGCACTCGTTGCTTGAAGCGCAACAACTCAAGAATGCCTAACACAATATCTATGGAGAATTCGTTAATGAGTCTTCACGGCACAGCCCAAAACATGGTTCATTATTACCGTTCACGTAGCAGAAACCACTTGCTTCACTCTTCTTTGCATGGTGAAGACCACCTGCCCAGTTGACAGCAATGTCGCATTTATTACGATTTAGTCGGGCCGCGCCCTCCATACTACCTCCCGCGCTGATTCCGCAAAATTCAAAAAGCCCGTCGAAAACAGGACAATCATCACCGACGTTATACTTGCTTTGCTCCTTGGCGTAAGTGTCCATGTTATCCGGCGTTACTTTGGAAAGGAAGTCGATATATTCATCGGTGTGGAATTGGGTCATCTCGTATTTAGACGCTGGTTTTGCGCGCTATGAGATTGCACGTTAGCAAGGTCAACATCGTGCAGTAGCAACCTGAGAGAGCGAGCGCCACTCACATAAATTTCCATCTTTTTATAAAGACCATAGTTCATAACCAAGCTATGTGTCATCCTTATGCGATGGGGCTTCATTGGATGTCCCGAGACATAGGCATAGTTACCAACGTCGGAATCGTAGAAATATGCGACCTTCTTGCCACGGTCTGACCCGTTGGCATTGATCGGGTCCAAGGGAGCTAAGGAAGTCATCTTGGATGACAATGTATAAAAGGGCACCGATAGCGTTCGCTCAAATGGTTATTAGGAAATATATGCCTTGGGCACGGCGAATTCTCGGTTCTGCTGGTGATGTCAAAGGAAGATGTAGAGGACGATGGGCTAGAGCCAAGGGGAGGGGACCAGATACTTGGTGATCAGGTCCCAGGTTTAGAGCGCCCTATCAAGGAAAGAGAGGAGAGGGAAATAGCAAAATCAAGAGTTATGATAAGTGACTGGACCGCATTCCCATGACCGGGGAGAATGAGGAACGAAGGTTGAAGCGAAGGGGAAAGAAAGGCGGGAGCGCCAATTAACGGTCCAAAGCTGTGCCCACCGCCTTCGTCAGTTAGGCTTCTTGGAGCTCAACTGCGGCTTCACCTCCAACCACCATCTCTTATCGCTTGCATCCCATTTCAATCCCCCTCATCTACCTTTCAGTCATTACTCCATTACCGCATTCTTTGCGAGCTTACTTCTACGTTGCCACCGTTTGACATCCCGATCAACTCTTCTGTCTTCCGGGGCTTCCCTCTAGGAAGCTATCCTTTACCTTTGCATCTCCGCGACTCATATTCCGTCAGCAGCTATGGAGCGACTTGGTCGGATGCTTCAGGCCGCCCAAAGTATGGGCATGGGCGGTGCTGCCCCCGGTGGTGTAAGTTGAGTCTCGACATTGCTTAATCACTGCTCTCCTATGGCGGTTCTTTCCGAGTACCTCATATGTGGCGTTGTACTCGATTAAGACTCTCTATCCGAGTTACACACCTGCGAAGCTATTATACTGATATGTGATTCTTTAGGATACCCCTAACCTGATCGATAACTCCGAAACCGTACATATCTCATCGTTGGCTCTGCTGAAGATGTTGCGACATGGTCGGGCAGGTGTGCCTATGGAAGTCATGGGTCTGATGTTGGGAGAGTTCGTGGATGAATATACAGTTCGAGTAGTAGATG